CTTGAAAATTTGGCATTTCATGCATCAGCCGTTTCCCCCAACGGCTGACTGATGTGTATCCTATGTGATGCTTACCTGTCAGCACACATGAAAATCGGTGATGAAAATCACCTTACCAAACAGCATAGTGTTGCTCACTGCCTACCTGGCAGAAGCGTTTTTTTGTGAAAAATGGGTCTTAAAACACATTTGAATTCTTGCCAACAACCCTCTCAAATAAGGGCAATCTTTGCATTTACAAATGTTGAGAACATGACATCGGCATTTTCTTTGTTATCTTTCTAATGTCCACAATCCACATATATAGTGGAAGGGCTATAGCAACCATGGTGTGAGAAACCTCAGGGGAGGCTTCAGCAATTTACCCTTTTTAAGATGAGAGTAGAAAATGACATTTTTTACCCCAATGTCCATTCGACCAAATTAATCTAAAGAAATAAAAAAAAAACAAAATATAAATTTCCCCCTAGGTTTTGCTTCTAAAAGTCGATATAGGAGTTTCTAGGCACACTCTTGGAATAAAAAATCTTGGTTAGCATTTACTACTTGTTTTAAGAGGACACATGACCATTCCCAAATAGAAATACAAACAGTTCCTTAAGTATGGTCAATTAAGTAAAGCAGTTAGAGGATATTATAGTGATATACAAACTATAGAGTAGATTTTAGTAAATATGTAAAATTTTAGGGTGTTTGTAAGTAAATGACCCATTAATAAAGCTAATTTTCTGTTCTTTTCAAGTGCATATTCTAGTTTGCAACCCCACAACATTCCAATTCATTAGACCCGGTCATTAATCTAGCCTTAAATTTTCATAAAAAAAAAGACTTGAAACATGACCACAAACACAAATATTTGATAAAAATCTCCAATAAAATGCATAAATCGCATGTTTAATTATTAATGTGTGATGATAGTGTTAGTCCAGCTAGCTTGGTGTAGGCAATCTCTATTTTCTAGTTCCTAGATGATGATGGAAACCAAATTGTGGGACAACTGCACCTCTCAATTGTACAGCCCACATTTACTCATCTCTACTGCATCAAAGGCAGCCAAATTAAACAAATAAAATGGTGCAGCGAGATAGCAAGAACAAAGTTTTAGAACACATCTTAAACGAAAAATAGATTGAGCCTTACTGAAGAAGTATTTCTTATTATGAGTGCTTTTTGGACGGGAGACTTATAGGTCTTTTTTTATAGCCTCAAAGTCCTATCTTATTACGGAAAAGATAAACTAATCCTACTTGGACAAAACCTTCAAAAGCCTATCTAGTTAAGGAAAAGATAAATTAATCCTACTTGGAACCAAACCTACAAAATCTTACCTAGTTAAGGAAAAAATAATTAATGAGAGAAAACAAAAAATCTATATTTAAACTACTTTAAAAAGCATAAATGATCTCAAGAATATTTCTGTATTTTTTAGGACAAAATTTACCCCTCTATTTTTAAATTTATTTATAAAAAATGAGGGCTAATAGGGTAACAAGTTATTGATCTTAAATGAGTTGAAAAGAGGTAATTTTAAGATATTCAATGCATTTTCCCTCTCATTAAATCCAACATTTAAGTTATTAACTTGAGTTCATGTTCATTGAATCATATATTTAAGTCATTTTTGTTTCTTCTCATCATTAAGTTCTATTAATTGAATCCATACTTAATAAATTAATAATTCTAATAACATAAAAGCTTATACTTTTAAAATCTACCTAGAAAAAAATAGTGTTTTCATCTAGGTGGTGGTAAGAAATTAAACTATTGTGGGTCAAATGGGTTAATCCATGTTGCCACGGAAAAATAGATAAAATGAAAAAAAAAATTGGGAATATTTTTAACATACATATTAAACAATAATAAGTATGATAAATAAGAAATATTTTTATCAATGATGGAAATGAAATGTAAAATGTTAAACCAATTGGAAATAAAAATATTTTTGCTATTCTCTCTCATTAAATCCTATATTTAATATATATTTTTCTCATCATTAAATTCTTGTAATTAAATCCACAAAATTAATTTTAATAGTATAAAAATAAATATTTTGAAAAGTAATTTGAAAATAAAACCTCTTCCCTCCCGGTGGTAGGTAAACAATTAGACCATTTGGGGTCAAATGAATTAATAAATAATGACATAATTGAACAATAAAAAATTAAAATAAATAAGTTTGAAATGTAAAAAATATTTTTATTAATGATGAAAATGGAATCCCATGTTGGCAACAACCACATAAGCCTCCGATGACATGGTGGGGGTTTTATAATTTGAAATGTAGAACCGATTGTTGGAGTTTTGTTGGTTTCTAGACCAACCTGTAGCCTAATTTTAAATGTATAATCGACTCTGACTATAATTTTCCTTAATTTAAAACTAATCTGAAAGCAAAGCTATTTTCTTATCTACATGGTGGGTCAATGATCCAACTTTTCAAAGAAGCCCATGATGTCATAATTGAATAATAAATATTCAAAAAAGATAGAACACCAAAAATGAAAATGTACAAAATTTTGTCAAAAACATTTGAGAGCATTTCTAATGTTATATACATTCATCATATTAAATAAAAATAATTGTTAAAATAAAATTTATTTTTATTTATGATAGAAATGGAATACAATATTTAATAATAATAGTTGTTATTTTCTACAAACATTTAAGTTTGTTTTTAATCATATTGTTACATTTGYTAATTTTCAGTTTCTATCTTAACTGTAAGATACCTAAATTTTAATTAATTAATATTAAGAAAAATTTTTCACGTTCAACACATGTGCTTAATTACTAGTTACATAATAAACACTAAAATGGAGAAATYCAAAATAACCAAAATTATGTTGTAAGCATGTCCGGATCAGAAAATGAGTTARTTAGTTATGTTTTGGGTCCTAATTGTCTTCATGGATACTTAATTGCTCCTCAGTCATGAGGACACTAGGCCCAAGTGAAATGACTTGTCCTCCTCACTCGATTAAACTACAAGAAAAAATAGGGTATATCATTTGTAGCTCCCCTAACATTTTTGCCATCAAAAGATGAATTGATTGGAGTYCAACCCATCTATCCCCCACATTTTTGCACCAACCTTCCCTACTCAAGTTTTTAAAATGCTCTTGGTAGAGGACGAGGCGGTTTGGTCTTGGTGAAGTGAGGCACAAGTTCGAGGAATTCAGGTTTGTTCCTCACAGTGTCTCACACCAACCTCACAATACTTTCAGCAGTGCATTGAAGACATCTCTCTTACTTGATTCTATCATTTATAAGGAAATTCTCCTAATGTAGGGCATCGATATGCAATGAGATTAGTATGAGGTACACTCTGTGAGGAGCAAATCCGATCAATGTGGTTTGAACTACAAACCATAAAAAAATGATAAAACAAATATAAATATATAATGCACCCAAAAAATATAATTCGTATAATTAAGCACCAAAGAGAAGAAGATCAAAATACATAAATTAAACCAAGACTTCAGTATAAGCAATAACAGTTCCCGGACTGCCAGATTTATTAGGTTTATCTGTTGAGGCGTGCGCCTCACACATAATCCCGCGTCAAGGCCTTATTATTTGTTTGAAGCACAAGCTTTGATCCGTTGTGAATCAATACACGTTGTTTTGTCTGTTTTGTCCTTTTAACTAGCATCACATGACAAGCCAATTTTGTATGCAGTACTATTAATCATTTCCCTCTTTGTTCTGGGTCAGTTTCGTAATTTAAAGTTGGCTATCCCTCTCATTCCTCTCCGCATCATACACCACCATTCCACCATTATAAATAGGGAAAATTCTCGATCAGGGTAGTCAGTACCCTACTTTGACTCGAGTGATTATTTGGTCCCCCAATTTTAAATTGCGATGATTTAGTACTTGGAGTTTTTGAAACACCATAACCTAGTATCTGTGGTTAATGTAACGTTTGATATGTATATTCGGTGACTTCATGCGTGATTTAAGACTTTTGAAAATGTCAAAATTATCCTTAAAAATAAAATATACTGTTCATCATCAAGAAGATGGAATAAAGCTCAAACTCTTTATCACGAACACCACAAAAACGATCTTTTCCGACAATAATGTATTAATAATTGGCAGCAAAGAGAGCATCTACCGATCTGTTGAAGGGATTTCGTTCAACCATTGTCTACAACAGTTCACTCCTTTTCAAGCAAAAAAATTTGAGGCGGAGAACTACTGAAGGTGATAAATTCTAAAATTCGGATGAGACCATTACCAAAATGCTACCGTAAAATTCAATTACGTATGAACGCAAAAAAATGACACACTTCGTAGCTTACAAGAGGCACCGCAGAAGGAAAGAAGTAGAGAAAGGTTAAAGGAGTCCAAGTCAGGCTGGCATTAACTTGAACTTTTGAGCTTCATACCTAACTTTTCTTTCTCTCTGCATTATCTTCTTCTCTTTCTATTTTTTATTTTTCCGACAATGGGAGTTATTTTCTAGGCGTAGTATATATTATAGTGTTTTACTTATACTCTCTCTCTCTCCCCCGTTTTTCTCTTCACAGATCATTTTTGTTCAGTTTACTATATTACTGATTATCTCTTAGAAGGGGCATTTTTGTCATAAAATTCATTTTAGTTATAAAAATTCATTATTAAAAAGGATAATTTTGTCCCATTTAAGTGTTGTTAATTTTTCCTTATGTGGGAAAATATTTACCCACCTAGGAGATGGGTATACCAGGAAAATAAACTTTTCCTAGTCCCCACAAAAAAGAAGAGGGATTCTTTGTGAAGGGGAACCAAAATCCAATCCCCTCTCAAAATCCAAAAAAAGAACACTCTTAAAGGAAAAAATTAAAATGAATGAAAAATTTGAGGATTAATATGATTGATAAAGAAAATTAAATAACACTTTAAGAAGGGTATTTATATATTTTCATATACCTATTAACGTCAGTGGTCATTCCAAAGTTCAGGTACTTGTTGCATCTTAAAATTTGGGGACTAAATTATCACTCGACCTAAGGGCAAGGGTTCTGATGAGGAATTTTCCGTTATAAATACACTTATACACCGATCACCTTTTCAAGAAACACAGAGACTGTGAGTTGAGACGACACTCTCTTCTCTTCAGTTCGGAGATCACCGGGAGATGAAGATGATTACGAGTCGCCACTTCTGCACACTGACCTTCCTCGTCTTATTCCTTTCCGCCGCGCCGGGAGACTCTTCGTCGGTAAGCTTTCTGAAAATATCTTCCTCGAACTCGATCTCTCCTTTATTAGACGATCATCGTTCACCGTGCTTCACAGTTCATCTCTAATCTTTTCATTATCGTCCGGCGCCGCTCGATCGTTCTTTCGTCTTCGTGCTTGATAATGATTATTATGAGATGCAGGAGGAGGAGGAGGAGGAGGAGGAGGAGTGCGTGTACACGCTGTACGTGCAGACGGGACCGATGATCATGGCAGGAACCGACGCCAAGATCAGCGTGGCCCTGGGTAATGCCGAGGGTAAATTGGTGCAGGTGCCGGATCTCGAGAAATGGGGGATCATGGAACGCGACCACTATTACTATCAGGAGGGGAGCCTCGACGTCTTCAGCGGCCGGGGACCTTGCATTGACTCCCCTCTCTGCTGGCTGAACCTCACGTCCGACGGGGGCTCCCAGTTTAACAGCTGGTACTGCGATTTCGTGGACGTGACATTGACAGGACCCCATAAACGCTGCAGCAGGGCCTTCTTCTTCGTCCTGCAATGGCTTTCAACCGACCATCCTCCTTTCCGACTAAACGCTTACCTAGATGGCTGCAATCTGCAACAGCAGAAGGTGCATACTCCTCGAAATGGCACTCTGGTGGTTCGGAACAGCGTAATAAGAGAAGGATCTTCAGCCTGATGCAGTGTGATGATGCAATGAACATAAGTCTCAGTTCGCAGTGTAAAATACAGGGTTTACTCTTCTCGCAGTGTAGACTTTTGGAGACTAGGTCTGTGGGTCAGCTTGGTATTCTCCCTTTATCAGTTAATCTCCCTTTCGAGATTAACCTTGTGCTTGTGGGTTTGCAATTTCAGTATCCGATTTTTCTGTTTTCTTAATTATATTATCTTTTTATGGTTTAAATAAATAATTATGCTCTGTTTGGTGCGTTTTTTGCACGGGCTGTAGGTTTTTTAGAAGCCCAACAATCAATGTTTTCGGTTTTTTTCATTTGGTTGGAAAAAGATCTAACTGTAGAAAGAAATAGTCTCGAAAATATACGAGAAATCAGTTCCGGACTATCAGAAAACTCCAAATGAAGTTTTTTGTTTTTTTTTTGTTCAATTCATCTTCACACAAGAAAAAAAACACACCTTAACCAAACAATCTTCTGCTAAGATTTTAATACAAAAGATCAAATCATCTTTTAGTTATCAAATTTGTCAGAAGATTTTATAAAAAACTTACCAAACGATATCTAAATTTACATAAACCAAAGAAAAAAATGCTTAGTGTGGCATAGAGACTTCATTTTAAGGTTCTAGCCTACTTCATGGAAGAGTAGATATATTTTTTTTTTTCATTATTATCAATTATATCTTATCCCATAATCATGCCACTTGCATGGAAATAGGAAGAAATGATTAAAGTGCATATGGCACTTTGAATAGAATGGAATGAGCAAACAGGATTCTATGTAATTGGGACAAGGCTTAGATGATAATGGTGATTTTTTTTGTAGATAGATGATAATGATGATTTCGGTTTCAACGGTTCATCACTGGAATAATTAAAAACCCAATTAATTCTTATTAATACACGAACATAAATTATGAGATTCAATTGTCCACAAATAAGATATACACTTAAAAACCTTAAACTTCAATTTGGAGCTTCCTTGTGTGAAGTAAATCATTATATTAGACATGCATCAATTATATTTATAATTTATATATATACAAAATATACATTAATCCTATATACATCAATGTTTTAAAAACCGATCCGGAGGTCGAATCATTTTTGCCTTCGGGTTTACAGGTCACCAGTTCAATCGGCTAGGTTGAATGGTTCAGACCGTGCCATGTCAATGCATATATATATATATATATATATATATATATATATTAAGTATATCTATCTATCTATCTATCTATCTATATATATATATACATACTAGTAATTAAGAACATGTGTTGCACCCAAGAAATTTTTCTTCATATTAATTACCTAAATTTTAAATATATCATAGTTAACACTATAAAAAAATAGACCTATAGCTATAGACACAACCATAGTTATAGGTCTATAGCTACGGACTAGCTACAATAAAAAAATAGTAGCTACAGTCACGGTGGCTATAGGAAATAACTACGGATGATTGTATCCGTAGCTAAAACTAACATATAGCTATAGTTTATGCCTATGGCTAAACCCTATTATAATAATTATATATGCATTTTTTAGTTACGGTTTTTAAGTTATACATAGTTACAAATTTAGCTTTATAACTACGGCTGTAAAACAACTGTAGTTAAATGTCACTTGGCTACAGATTTAAGTTGTCCATAGAAGAACCTATAGCTACGGTTTAAGTAGCCTATAGCAAAAGAGCATTAATCTATAACTACGGTTTCTAATACGGTTTAAGTCAACTGTAGCTAAAAACGAAACCTATAAATACAATTTAATTTATAGCTAGATCCTGAAATTTTTTCATTATTTTTTTTTGAAACCTGTTTTTTTTCTTGTATCGAATACAAACACAACTAATTTCATTCATAATATAAGATTGAACTTCAATGTAAAAATCCCTTAAAAGATTATATAATAAAAAAATGAATTATATCTCAAAGTGCTTTAATACATCAATGTATTTAAAATCTGTTACAAATTCAAGGTTATTAAATACATGAAATTCAATAAAAAAAGTTGATGTGTAAAATTTGTTCAAATGTCTCCATCCGCATGTGTGAAATCCTCTTTTACAATGTTCAACCTATAAAAAAATAATAGAAAATAAGTTAGAAGTCACAATTTTGGAAATATAAAATCATGTATGAAAATCTAATTATTAACTATGCAATATAAATCATGCATGATAGTGCAAATAGGCCAAGTACAAATTCTAGTTTCTTTTGTCTACGGCTTTACTTTTTTTGTTTGTTTGGGAATAGCAAAATTGAAAGTAAGATGATAAGACCCGCTTTGTTTCAAATAATATCAAAGTAAGAGGAATGTTTCTTTTTTTGGAAGGACTCATATGGAAAGTAAAATGATATTCCACCCAATTTATATGATAGAGAATGTGGTTCAAATCTTTCATCGGTTTGCAAAATTTGTACCATCAATAGGTGCAAATGAGGCAAAAAAAAAATGCAAACTTTACAAAGGCATGCAAATTTAAATCTGGTGAAAAATTTGCATCTAACTGCAAATAAATGAGGCCTGAGGAACTTCTTTGCTACTGATCAATTCAACAGTCTTTTCCAACTATATGGGGCCAGGTGTAAATCCCCTTTGGTCATCATTCTAAGTACTCTTACAAAGAGCAATGTAGAGAACACTAATATGGACCCCACTGAAGTGATCCCCACTGTTCGTATGTCAACAATAAGTTATGATTAGGATTAGTTCTTTATGATAAGATTAGGACTAGTCTTTTATAAGATTAGGGTCAGTCTTTCTTCAGCTTTATCTTATCTTGCCATGTAAGCAATTCAGTCTTTTTACAAGTATGATACTATGTATATAAATTTAAGAGGGGGGTGGCTGTTTCAAACACAACCAACCACTCTCTTCTCCTAAAACCCTTCCACGAGTTCTTCTTCTCCATCTCTCTTCTCTTCACTTCACTTATAATTTTTTCTTTTATTTTTTGTTCAAATATGTAGTCTTGTACGACTACTTGGTATCAGAGCTTGGTTCAGGGAGTCTCATGTGAGTTTGATCCAGCCAACCACATGAGAGTTGCCTAGGGCTGGAAGAATAGAGAAAGCTCTCTTCGGCTGATTCTTGGAGGTTATCTACAGCAGCAATTCAAAGATTGGGATTGGAATCTACAGCAACAATCCAAAGAGAAAAGGATCAAGATCAACCCTTGATCAGTACTGGAATTGGCGATCAAAATTTCATAGGATTTTTGTTCGATCAATACTAGAGGTTGCAATTAGAATTTCAAAAGATTTATGGTTCAAGATCAGAACTTTCAGAATTTTTCGGTAAGTTTTTCAACCTTTCTCAAGATTGGTAGTAAGAATACCTTAATAAGAGGTACGAAAAAAACTCTAGAAGATTTATGTAGTTCCTTTTAGGGTTTAAGAGAAAACCCTCAAGTTTCAGAGCTGTTTTAGCAGGACTGTTACAATAAAACTGTTATTTTTTGTTGTCAGTCTCAATAGGCCGACTGTCACATTTTTTTTATTGCTATTACTACTGTAGACCCAGTAGGCCGAGTGGTACACTAATTAGGAAGTCTTTTTACTGATTATTAATAGAGTTTAAAAACCAAGGGGAGGGTGTTTTGGGGACTGGTTCAGTTAACATGTCTGAAAACACCTTCCAAATTACAACTGTAAAGTTTGATGGTTCAAACTACTTAGAGTGGTCCCAATCAGCCGTGATGGCCATTGGGGGAAGAGGAAAGCTGAACTACTTGTTGGGGGATGTGAAGGAACCAACTAAGGAGGACCCCACGTATGCTAGGTGGATTTAGAAAAATTATTTGGTAATGACATGGTTGTACAACTCTATGCAGCCACACATCAATCGAAATTACTTATGGGCAAAAACAACTAAAGAAATATGAGATGTTGTAAAGGAAACCTACTCTCAGCCCATTAATGTTGCTAGGGCTTATGAGCTGAAATTGGAAGTTAGAAATCTTAGACAAGGAAAGAAACAAATCTCTGTTTATTTTTCAATCCTAAAATCTCTGTAGCATGAAATTGACCATCTTGAGATAATAAAATGGGAAAGTCAGAGAGATGCACAGACTTACAGAAGACAAGTTGACACTAACAGAGTATTTGAGTTCCTAACTGGTCAAAATTCCAAGTATGATATTATAAGACAATCGTTGTTGACAAGAGAGGGTGTGGCTCTGTCTCAAGCCTATTCCCTAGTGCACAGTGAGGAGACTAGAAGAAAGGTTATGTTGCAGCAGTAGCCTTTCGAATCTTCCCTGGTAGCAGTTAAACCCGAGTCTGGGGGAGATGAGGAAAATGATATGAAGATAGAGGCTAAGAAAGACCTAGTGTGTGAACATTGCAAGAAACCTAAACACACTAAAGACACTCGTTGGAAGTTATATCCACATCTGGTTCCAACAAAACTCAGAAACAAAAAGGGGAATGTCAATATGGTCGTTAACACTAATAGTGCAGCCTCAAGAGGCACACCTCTAGACACCCTAGTTGATGTCCGAGCTGCTCTGACACAATTGGAAAGTGAAATTAGTAACTCAGTCTCGTCTCCTCAGCCACCATCAATTCCTTCAACCTCAGGTAATCGGGCTATCTTCTTGTACCATATCTTTTATTTTTCCCTTTTGATTTAAATGCATGTCAACAATAAAATATAATAGAATAATTGTTTAAGCATAAGGTCAGCTAAAGATGAATATGTTTCTAATAGGTCAGATACTCAGATTGTTCTAAAATAGCATTAGAATGCTAAGGATAGCTTCAGGAATGTTGCATGGCTTCCCTCACAAATCCTAGATCCTTCTAGCTCTCATATTTGTTTATCGTCTGAAGATAATTTTTTCTCCAGGTTTCTAGGACCATTTTCTCATATCATCTTCAGCTGCTCAGCATTAAATTTAACCCTGGAAGCTTGGTAGGAACTAGATCGCTACTAACAACAGACTGACAGACAATAATGGGAATGAAGATCTCTGAAGAAATTAAAGGAAAGATGAGTTGATAATAAATAAAATAAAGATGATTACAAGCCAAGGTCCAACACTAGACACTACCTATCATGAGACATCCTAATTATAACATGTCTATGTCTACAAGGTACCATTAGATTTCTATAATTTACTGATTTAGCTAGCCTCATCCCTTGTTGTATTGTCATCAGCTTTGTCCTTATTGAATCATCATGATCAATGGGCCCAAATGAATGCCATGTGTCCAATGTTGTTCTTGAAAACACTTCCAAATCCAGAATTACCTGGATTTCCAAAGCTGCATCCATCAAAGTTCATCCTAATTTTGTTGGGAGAGGGAGGAGACCATGATATGACTAAACACACTCTTACTTCTTTTCTTTTAGGTTTCGATGGCAATTGGTAATT